TCCCAACAACCAGTCTGTGTGTGCTGTGTTGAATCCCAAACTTATATTCTAAAATGCCTTTCTACATTGAAGGAAGTTCCAGACTAGCTGTGAACATAACTGTTAGCAGTTACCCTACTGGCTTCTGGCTCAGAGACGGACAGGAAACTGCAATGTAGTTCTAGCTGAGCTGGTACTTTGGCATCAAGACTCTATACAACCTCACTCTAACAGAGGAGTTTCACAGTTCAGACAACATGAAAAGTAATGTATCCGGCACAAAAGAGTTAGACTAACTGTATCTTCTGAAGATTGACCGATGACAACCATGGGCTGTTGTGTTTGTAGGTCACCATGTTCCAGTCCAGGTTAGGAAAGACCTGAAGATAACCGCTGCACAGGATAGATGTCATTGATGACAGTCACCACAGATGATAGGCATCGCTGACAACAGACATCACTGATGATAGGCATCGCTGACAACACACATCACTGATGATAGGCATCACTGACAACAGACATCACTGATGATAGGCATCACTGATGATAGGCATCGCTGACAACAGACATCACTGATGATAGGCATTGCTGACAACAGACATCACTGATGATAGGCATCACTGACAACAGACATCACTGATGATAGGCATCACTGATGATAGGCATCGCTGACAACAGACATCACTGATGATAGGCATCGCTGACAACAGACATCACTGATGATAGGCATCGCTGACAAAGACATCACTGATGATAGGCATCGCTGACAAAGACATCACTGATTATAGGCATCACTGACAACAGACACTACTGATGATAGGCATCGCTGACAACAGACATCACTGATGATAGGCATCGCTGACAACAGACATCACTGATAATAGGCATCGATGACAAGGCAAAACTGGAGAAACTTTACAAGTAACCCAAGGATTCACTTGATGTTGATTAACATCCTTATCATAAAGAAACAGGCAATTCGCAGCTCCATTCGTATTTATTATGATACAGAAGAAATTCCACTTAAATATCAGTTTGGTTTGTGTAACTATTTGCTTCTAAGTGTCTACCAGTATGGATTTTGTCTGCTGGCCAAGTGGAATGTAGTTTTATCTTCAAAACAAAAAAATTAACTGATCCACTTATTAAAACCCAAAACATCAGATTTGAAAAGCTGGCATTTGAATGTCTTCACTGACCTTAACTCCCACTGATTCTACTTGCAGTATTTCAGACATATTTCAGACACATAGACAATAAATTGTTTGGCTCTCCTCCAAACTTCTACCCCATTTTATGGTGGCTAAACAAATACACTAACAGGGCCTCAGTACTATGCAAAATGCGGACTTCCTGCTGAGGAAGAAATTGTGGCGAAACTAGGATTGGCTCCGAATAACGAAACAAATGCTCTAACAAGGTCTCAGCGATATGTTAATTGCGGACCTGTTTCTGCGACTATGCCGCACCGCCGACAGTATCGCACGTGTGGCGCAGATGGGGGGGGGGGGCTAAACTAGATGGGTGGGACTCAGGAGCAGCAGCTACCGTATCTCCTGCAACTTCCTCCATTTTATTTGCTCATGAATCCCAGGCATCTAGTTTAGATCTCCATCCGCGCCGCACGTAGCAGCGCGGGGGACCGCACGTAGCAACGCGGGGGACAGCACGTAGCAGCGCGGGAGACCGCACGTAGCAGCGCGGGGGACCGCACGTAGCAGCGCGGGGGACCGCACGTAGCAACGCGGGGGATACGCTCGGTGGTGAGTTTAATCGGAAGAAAACTATCGCTAATCTGCGTCAGAGGGCGTGGTCTCCCCGCCATTTCCAAATTATATTCTGTAATGTTGCCTGTCTCGAAATTGTCAATGGTTGCTAGTATTGTCTGCTAGTATCGTCTGCAGAAACACTTGAAATTGTCAACGGTCGCTAGTATTGTCTGCTATGTTGCGTCTCTTGAAATTGTCAAGTAATCCTAGTTTTGCCGCGATGTGTTCTTCGCAGGAAGTCTGCATTTTACACACGACTGAGACCCTGTTATGGTATTTGTTTGGCCGCCATAATATGGGGTAGAAGTTCGGAGGAGAGCCAATGTTTAAATTACTAACATTAAAGACATAATGATTCTACAAATAAATTTCTAAATAATACTTATTTTGTACATAATAACATGTGTTGAACAGATGTACAATAAGTGGGTTTATTTCTTCTTCTGAGTCTGTAATTGAAATAGTAGTTTAGATTTTGAGTTAGGGTTTACAGCTCAGCTGCAATATCTGTACCTTTTGACTGAACATATCCAACTGTAGCGAATTCCTCATTAATCACCTTTTATGAGGCCCGTTGGAGGCTGCGGGTCTATTCTGAAGTCTCCTAGAATATGGTCCCAGAGCCCACACAGGGACCAATCAAGCCTTCAGAGAAATGATCCACACAACCAAACTCAAAGAAATAACCAAGCAGGAGCCCAATTTTAGGGAAACAAAGAATAGATCCATAACCCTTCTAGCACGCATGCCATGAATGGTGACTAATTAATTAGGGGGTGCTTCCTTTGAAGTAGCACTGCATCTATCTGGCAGGGAAGGAACTAACAATCTGAGAACAAATAAGCTAGATCTGTAAAACGGATGTGCATGCAAAACTCAAATAGAAAACAAGATTAAAGTCCAGAAGTGGAAGAACAACCAAACACTTTCCAATAAAATTGACAGCTGGTAAATTCTAAGAAGAAAGAAAAAGGAGAAGAAGAATGCAATCTGCTACCCAGTAGCCTGCAGCTTGTTTTAAACCCTGATATGTCAGAATTGTGAAACTGTGCTCATAAATACTAAGCTGCTGATGTCAGCAAGAGTAAGATCAGCCAGGCAAATGCAGCGTCCAAAGATAAAACACTGTGTATAATATACCCGCAGAACCTTTCGGTCCGTGTGTACATACATGGGTCAGCAGAAAGCGCAGTCAGAAACGGAGGTGCGGGAGTGTACATTGAGTATCCTAATAATACCAGGGATACAGCCAAATTACCAACGGGAAAGCACTGTCACAACTATGATGCAGAAGTTCAAGCCATCAAGATAGCGGTAGAGAAACTACTAAATACAGGGTATTTTTCACAACCAGTGGTATTCCTGACAGATGCAAAAGCAGTACTTCAGTCACTCCAGTCTGGAAAATTACCAAGCATACAGACACTATTATCCGAACTAGGCAACCGCTGTAAATTAGTAATGCAGTGGATACCTTCCCACTGTGGAGTTCCCGGAAACGAAAAAGCTGATAAACTAGCTAAGGAAGGTGCAACTGAAGAACAACCTGACATACCAGTCTCTTATCAACAGAAGAAGAGAATGATCAAATCAATCAGAATGCTACCGAAACTGGCACAAGATGATTACCATATTATGGACAGACCAGAGCAAGTTATTATCCTTCGCCTTAGAACAGGGCACAATAGACTTCGCTCCCACATGTACAACAAATTTAAGATTGGCCAATCGGCCATGTGTACCTGTGGACTGGCACCTGAAACAACAGATCACATCCTTCAAGACTGTCCCAGATTCAACGCTCTCAGGCAAAACCTTTGGCCAAAAGAGACACTTGTGGAAGTCAAACTTTACGGGCCGATTAGTGAATTACAAAAGACAGTGAAATTCATACAAGAGACGGCTTTGCAGATATAGACATTTTATTTCATGTGAACGAAAGAAGAAGAAGAACTGTGTATAATTAGTCTGTATCTCAATGTAAGAAAGAGAGCACTGCTGCAAGGTCACAAACATGTCTTCTACAAGGTCATGTACGCTGGAGAGCCGGACTTGGCTCCAAGGTTGACCCAACTTTAAATGGGTACCAGGTTACAGTCCTGAGAAGTAAAGGCAGCTGGCCAGATGCTGACCACATCCCCCAGCCAGTGCCGACAGGTCTATCAACTAAAACTCTAGCCCTACATGTCTGAAGACATGCAGTAGGATCCTTAACAAGACTTTCTGATATTTGTGAAAGTTTACATCTGCTGGAACTCAAACAGTTAACCTGAACACAATTAGAGTGGTCTTTAGCTGTCATGTGACAGCATTTTGTGGAATAACCATCATAATATTCTCAATAATTTAAATAATGAAAACATAAACAATTAATTGCACACCTTGTCAACTGCCATAACATATCAGACGCACACTACACAATAAAATCAGAATAAATATGAAGCAGACCCAATGAATACTTTTGGCTGAAGTACAAGACATACCCCAGGTCGACCCAGCCTTGAGTGGGTACCGGGTGCAGTCCAGGGAAAGTAAAGGCGGCCGGCGTGATGCTGACCACATCACCCATCTCGTGTTGACTGGTCTATAAAAATATAGGACTAGCCCTATACGCCTAAAGGCGTGGAAAGGGTCCTTTACTTTTTTTTTTACAAGACATACGCAGTCTTGTGTTTGAAGGTAAAAAAGTTACCACAGTGGTAACAGACAGACAATGGTATCATTTTATTTGCACTGTACAGGGTTAGCCATACATATCCTAATATCTGCAATATCCCGTAGGTATACTCTAAGTTTTAATTGTCTCGCACGAAACCTGACGAGACACTCTGAAATCTGTCGGGCGATAAAATAGACAATCTTCTTCTTCTGTGTTCATCTTTAAAAAGATGGTTGGTAGCTTGTGGTTTACAGCTAGGCTGCAATATTTGCACCTTATGGCTCAAAACATCCAATTTCAGCAAATCCTAATTAGTTTCCTCTCGTGACATGCCTGATAGGCAGCAGTGAATCTATTCTTTCCCTCCCAAAAATAGGGTCCCAGAGCCCCAGAGGTAACACATGCAATGTATTATTGACATTTGCATTAGTCAGAAACAGCTGTTTATCTATTATTGACATTTGCATTAGTCAGAAACAGCTGTTTATCTATTATTGACATTCGCATTAGTCAGATTCACAAGTGGAAAACAGCTGTGAATAACAGTAACCACAAGCAGAAGAGGAAGATGAATGCAGCAGAGCGTGACAAATTCATACAGTGTCCAAGGAATCTAGGGAATGTTTGATGTAGAAGTCACTAAGGACAGTGAGAACTCGGTTCAAGTGAAACACAAAGTTCTCAATATCTGTCAACAACACATGCTCAAACTGGCTGCTTGTTGTGTCGATTTCTGTGCTTCCTGCTGCCAAGTGGCTCAGGAATGTTTCTCTGTAGGGAAGAGATTTGATTGCCATCTGTGGATTGAACATTACATACACATGTTACTGTTTTCATTCATATAAATGTACATGTTTGTGATATTATCATCATCATGTAGCAGGTCTTTCACACAATGTTCACAATGTCTTATTATTTCACAGCTTAAGGCCTCAGTCAAACTGTCTAGGAGGTTCATGGCCTCAGTCAAACTGTCTAAGAGGTTCATGGCCTCAATCAAACTGTCTAAGAGGTTCATGGCCTCGGTCAAACTGTCTAGGAGGTCCATGGACTCAGTAAAACTGTCTAAGAGGTTCATGGCCTCAGTCAAACTGTCTAGGAGGTTCATGGCCTCAGTCAAACTGTCTAGGAGGTTCATGGACTCAGTCAAACTGTCTAGGAGGTTCATGGCCTCAGTCAAACTGTCTAGGAGGTTCATGGCCTCAGTCAAACTGTCTAGGAGGTCCATGGCCTCAGTCAAACTGTCTAAGAGGTGCATGGCCTCAGTCAAACTGTCTAAGAGGTGCATGGCCTCAGTCAAACTGTCTAAGAGGTTCATGGCCTCAGTCAAACTGTCTAGGAGGTGCATGGACTCAGTCAAACTGTCTAGGAGGTGCATGGACTCAGTCAAACTGTCTAGGAGGTTCATGGCCTCAGTCAAACTGTCTAAGAGGTTCATGGCCTCAGTCAAACTGTCTAAGAGGTTCATGGCCTCAGTCAAACTGCCTAAGAGGTCCATGGCCTCAGTCAAACTGTCTAGGAGGTCCAAGGCCTCAGTCAAACTGTCTAGGAGGTCCATGGCCTCAGTCAAAGAGTCTAGGAGGTTCATGGCCTCAGTCAAACTGTCTAGGAGGTTCATGGCCTCAGTCAAACTGTCTAGGAGGTTCATGGCCTCAGTCAAACTGTCTAGAAGGTTCATGGCCTCAGTCAAACTGTCTAGGAGGTTCATGGACTCAGTCAAACTGTCTAGGAGGTCCATGGACTCAGTCAAACTGTCTAAGAGGTTCATGGACTCGGTCAAACTGTCTAGGAGGTCCACGGACTCAGTCAAACTGTCTAGGAGGTCCATGGCCTCAGTCAAACTGTCTAGGAGGTCCATGGACTCAGTCAAACTGTCTAGGAGGTTCATGGCCTCAGTCAAACTGTCTAGGAGGTTCATGGACTCAGTCAAACTGTCTAGGAGGTTCATGGCCTCAGTCAAACTGTCTAGGAGGTTCATGGCCTCAGTCAAACTGTCTAGGAGGTTTATGGACTCAGTAAAACTGTCTAGGAGGTCCATGGACTCAGTCAAACTGTCTAGAAGGTTCATGGCCTCAGTCAAAATGTCTAGGAGGTGCATGGACTCAGTCAAACTGTCTAGGAGGTCCATGGACTCAGTCAAACTGTCTAGAAGGTTCATGGCCTCAGTCAAACTGTCTAAGAGGTTCATGGACTCAGTCAAACTGTCTAGGAGGTCCATGGCCTCAGTCAAACTGTCTAGGAGGTTCATGGCCTCAGTCAAACTGTCTAGGAGGTCCATGGCCTCAGTCAAACTGTCTAGGAGGTTCATGGCCTCAGTCAAACTGTCTAATAGGTCCATGGTCTTAGTCAGACTGCCTAAGAGGTTCATGGCTTCAGTCAAACTGCCTAAGAGGTCCATGGCTTTAGTCAAACTGCCTAAGAGGTTCATGGCTTCAGTCAAAATGCCTAATAGGTTCATGGTCTTAGTCAAACTGCCTAAGAGGTTCATAGCCTCAGTCAAGCTGACCAAATGACCTAATTTAATGTCTGAAAGGTACAAAGACCTAACTCAACTATTTGAATAGGAGGTTCATACTGCTGCCATTGAATAATCTCAGCCAGATAGTGACAAGTTTTGATATTATGACTGATAATGCAAGTACCAAACCTACTGCCGATCATATCGGTTAAGATCATCCCTATTGCAATCAGCTGTGTCCAGAATTCGGTTGTTGTGATTTCTGATATACCATACAAAAATGGTCATAAAATTTAAAGTATTTAAATTAACTGTTTCAAATAGAGACTCACTGATGCACAATTGAACAGAGCGGACGTGAACTCTTATAAATAGATGGCGGTGTTGCTGAACAAGTAAAAAGTAGGGTAAGCCCATTTCTGGTATAAATAATCTTCACATGTGTATAACATCTTTGAATGTTGTGTGATTTTAATAACATTTTGTTGTAATAGTGACATTTAAATAGTTTAGATTTATTCTGCATTCATTTCTCCTAAATCTGATATATATTTTATGTCTCCATACAACCAATTCTTTTTCTTTATGAAGGTTTTAGCCTTGTCAAGTTCAGGAGGAACAAAAATTCAGTTCAAAATTACTTCTGTCCAAACCCCAGGGAAAAAAAATGTCTGGAAAGAGTTAAATAACTAACTGTCTGTGGTCCATGAACTTTCTCACTGCATTAGCATTTTATGAACAGCATTGTCTGAAAACAATACTTTGGCAGCCTTCACTCCCCAGCAACATTCCTTTACGCCCACTCAACCGCACACAGAGACACACACTCAAGTGAACACACAAGTGTGTGTGTGCGTATATATATTTAAATACATGTGTGTGTGTGTGTGCGTGCATGCGCGTGTGTAACAATTTAAAAAAGAAAACAAGAAAACCTCACCGCAAACACTCCTCGGACTACCCATCCATGGTAGAGTTTTAGGGTTCGAGAGTAAGCATTGCTGGCACAAACACTCATGTCTGTGCTGCCAGAGTTACATTCCCTTAAAAACTCTCGGATAAATTCCAAACTCCTGAAATATTACAGTTGGGTACAACTTTACAAATGATGATGTCTACCCCTCCTTGTCTAGATGGCAGTTTTTTCAAGGCAACAATTATAGTCCAGTCCAAATGCAGTGCCCTCAAACTTTAACAAGTATCTCAAAAACTTCTGTACAGACCAACAGACATTTGTGCAAATGGTCTTAGATTGACCATGTCTTGATCACTGTCTAATTTACAATTGCACAGGTACTACTGTGTTCTTTGCTGGACAAATCATTTGTACACTCCCAACAAAATATACAGTACCTGACACAAACCGTTTACTTCAAACAATTTCCCATCGCAGAGATGTGTGGTCATTATTCTGATAGCCTATCCTGCATACAATAAAATATTCTGTCCATCTAACTCTCGGGAGGCTAATACAGGAGATTAAACACCTGAGAGTGAAATGTCTATGAAATGAGCAACAATTATGTAATGAGATATGGCAGTATATGATGTATCTCTAATCCATTCTAGATAAGTGCGTCTTGGTTTTTCGCACTGACTACCTCTCAAACATTTGAAATTAAATGTTTTACAAAGTTTGTGTCACACCATTAACTGTAAACGTACTAACTGTAAACGTACTAACTGTAAACGTACTAACTGTAAACGTACTAACTGTAAACGTACTAACTGTAAACGTTCTAACTGTAAACGTACTAACTGTAAACGTACTAACTGTAAACATACTAACTGTAAACATACTAACTGTAAACATACTAACTGTATGCTTTGAATTGGTGCCTGTATTTATCATTATTTCCCTAAAAGGACATGATAATTAACAGGTCGCATGCCAAATTTCAACAGTTTATAATCAATTACTTGTGGAACAGACTATAGCTGTCCAAAGTGTGAAATGTGTCAAATCCAATTAAATTAATCTTCTTCGCGTTTACCAGCTGTAAACTGGCAGAAAGTTCTGGTTGTTCATCCACTTCTGGACTGCAGTTCTGTTTCAGAACCTGAGTGTTGCTGGTTCCTTGCCTCTCAGGCAGATGCACTCCAACTTTGAAGGAAGCTCCCAATTGGTCAACTCTTACAACATGCTTTTGGGTTGTCAATGGGTCTCTTGTTTTCCCTATAATAGGGCCCAAGAACCCAAACGGGGAAATTAAATTAATAAAATGTGGTTGTTTTGCTGAACTGCTTATCCCCATCTTCTCTTTCTTCTGCTCTTTATCTCCCAATGGAGCACAGACCCTCAACCAACTCATGCCAAGTTGTCCCATCTTTTGCTATCATAGGCAACTCACCCTATGTCTTCCTTACCCTGGTTGGGTGGGTTCCTGACCCTGGTGGGGTGGGTTCCTGACCCTGGTGGGGTGGATTCCTGACCCTGGTGGGGTGGGTTCCTGACCCTGGTGGGGTGGGTTCCTGACCCTGGTGGGGTGGATTCCTGACCCTGGTGGGGTGGGTTCCTGACCCTGGTGGGGTGGGTTCCTGACCCTGGTTGGGTGGGTTCCTGACCCTGGTGGGGTGGGTTCCTGACCCTGGTGGGGTGGGTTCCTGACCCTTGTTGGGTGGGTTCCTGACTCTGGTGGGGTGGGTTCCTTACCCTTGTTGGGTGGGTTCTTTACCCTGGTTGGGTGGGTTCTTTACCCTGGTTGAGTGGGTTCCTTACCCTGGTTGGGTGGGTTCTTTACCCTGGTTGGGTGGGTTCTTTACCCTGGTTGGGTGGGTTCTTTACACTGGTTGGGTGGGTTCCTTACCCTGGTTGGGTGGGTTCTTTACCCTGGTTGGGTGGGTTCTTTACCCTGGTTGGGTGGGTTCTTTACCCTGGTTGGGTGGGTTCTTTACCCTGGTTGGGTGGGTTCTTTACCCTGGTTAGGTGGGTTCCTTACCCTGGTTGGGTGGGTTCCTGACCCTGGTAGGGTGCAGTGTGTTGCTATTCATTGCTTCCTGTGAGGGCCTAAAGTAACATAAGGGTGACCATCATCATCACTGGGTGGGAAAAAGAAAATTACAGAAACAAATTTAAAAATAAAGAAAGAATTGGAAAAGAAAGAAACAGAAAAATAGATGTAAAAATAAAAACATGCAAACAGAAAAGGGAAGACAGCAATAAAAAAGATAGAAGGAAAGAAAAAATGAAACAAAGAAACAAATATACAAATTGACCAAAAGAAACCGAATGAAAAGAATGTAAAGAATAAAACATCATTTATAAACAAAATTTAAAATACACTGAACAGGGAAACCTCAAACAGTTTCTGACCTCTTCAACCATAACAATGCACATGTAGCAGAGCTGGAGTTAGTGTGCTGGTTACCTTCCACCTCAGTTAGCACCATGGACTGTAAAGTGGTGAACTTGCTTGGATTGCTTTCATACTTCTGATGGATTTTCTGTGTACAGAAAAGCAGCATCTCCACAATGCAACACACACCCAACATCTCCACAATGTTACACACACCCAACATCTCCACAATGCAACACACACCCAACATCTCCACAATGCAACACACACCCAACATCTCCACAACACTACACACACCCAACATCTCCACAACACTACACACACCCAAAATCTCCACAACACTACACACACTCAACATCTCCACAACACTACACACACCCAACATCTCCACAACACTACACACACCCAACATCTCCACAACACTACACACACCCAACATCTCCACAACACTACACACACCCAACATCTCCACAACACTACACACACCCAACATCTCCACAACGCTACACACACCAAACATCTCCACAACACTACACACACCCAACATCACAATGCAACACACACCCAACATCTCCACAACACTACACACACCCAACATCTCCACAACACTACACACACCCAACATCACAATGCAACACACACCCAACATCTCCACAACACTACACACACCCAACATCTCCACAACACTACACACACCCAACATCTCCACAACACTACACACACCCAACATCCCCACAACGCTACACACACCCAACATCTCCACAATGTTACACACACCCAACATCCCCACAAACTACACACACCCAACATCTCCACAACACTACACACACCCAACATCACAATGCAACACACACCCAACATCTCCACAACACTACACACACCCAACATCTCCACAACACTACACACACCCAACATCTCCACAACACTACACACACCCAGCATCTCCACAACACTACACACACCCAACATCTCCACAACACTACACACACCCAACATCTCCACAACGCTACACACACCCAACATCTCCACAACACTACACACACCCAACATCTCCACAACGCTACACACACCCAACATCTCCACAATGCTACACACACCCAACATCTCCACAACACTACACACACCCAACATCTCCACAACGCTACACACACCCAACATCTCCACAACGCTACACACACCCAACATCTCCACAATGCTACACACACCCAACATCTCCACAACACTACACACACCCAACATCTCCACAACGCTACACACACCCAACATCTCCACAACACTACACACACCCAACATCGCCACAATGTTACACACACCCAACATCTCCACAACACTACACATACCCAACATCTCCACAACACTACACACACCCATCTCCACAACACTACACACACCCAACATCTCCACAACGCTACACACACCCAACATCTCCACAACACTACACACACCCAACATCCCCACAACGCTACACACACCCAACATCCCCACAACGCTACACACACCCAACATCCCCACAACGCTACACACACCCAACATCCCCACAATGCTACACACACCCAACATCCCCACAACGCTACACACACCCAACATCCCCAAAATGCTACACACACCCAACATCCCCACAACGCTACACACACCCAACATCCCCACAACGCTACACACACCTAACATCCCCACAACGCTACACACACCCAACATCCCCACAACGCTACACACACCCAACATCCCCACAACGCTACACACACCCAACATCCCCACAATGCTACACACACCCAACATCCCCACAATGCTACACACCCAACATCCCCACAACGCTACACACACCCAACATCCCCACAACGCTACACACACCCAACATCCCCACAATGCTACACACACCCAACATCCCCACAACGCTACACACACCCAACATCCCCACAATGCTACACACACCCAACATCCCCACAATGCTACACACACCCAACATCCCCACAACGCTACACACACCCAACATCCCCACAACGCTACACACACCCAACATCCCCACAACGCTACACACACCCAACATCCCCACAATGCTACACACACCCAACATCCCCACAACGCTACACACACCCAACATCCCCACAACATCCCCACAACACTACACACACCCAACATCTCCACAACACTACACACACCCAACATCCCCACAACACTACACACACCCAACATCCCCACAACACTACACACACCCAGCATCCCTACAACGCTACACACACCCAACATCTCCACAACACTACACACACCCAACATCCCCACAACACTACACACACCCAGCAAACCTAACCTTGTTATGCAGCACAAATATCACAGTTCTTCTGTAAAATCTTGGTCATGCATTTTTGTACAATATGAGAGAATATTTACTATGAGGGGGGGGGGGGGGGGGGGGGGACACAGACGAAAAAGACTATTAAGTCTAGTTACAGTTTAAATTGTATCCATCAATCAGTCAATCAGGTGCCATCTCCACAAAAAAGGTTGGCTGCAATAGATCTCCAACACAATGCCTCTGGTCCTGGAGGTAGACTCTCGAATACTGTTGCTTGTTTATCTCTTGGTGTTATCCTTTCACTTGTATGTATCACTGTCTATCTCTTGCTTGCTTGGCTTTAACTTTTCCCTCCAGTATGGTTGTTTGTAAGCTGTTATGTCTATTTACAGAATGGCAAAAACACTGCACTTGTATAATTTGTATTTCCTTCTGCAACTCTCTTTTCATTCCTAGTCACTTCAGAACTCTGTATTTGACTGGGTTTTATTCCTATGGAATATGACCTACTCTTCTGTATATCTGTATCTCCAGTCTGTATATCTATATCACCAGAGTCTGTACACCTATATCTCCAGAGTCTGTATATCTACATCTCCAAAATCTGTATATCTACATCTCCAAAGTCTGTATATCTACATCTCCAGAGTCTGTATATCAACATCTCCAGAGTTTGTATATCTACATCTTCAGAGTCTGTATATCTCCTATCCAGAGTCTGTATATCTACATCTCTAGAGTCTGTATATCTCATCTCCAGAGTCTGTATATCTACATCTCTAGAGTCTGTATATCTACATCACCAGAGACTGCATATCTACATTTCCAGAGTCTGTATATCTACATCACCAGAGACTGCATATCTACATTTCCAGAGTCTGTATATCTACACCACCAGAGACTGCATATCTACATTTCCAGAGTCTGTATATCTACATCACAAGAGACTGTATATCTACATCTCCAGAGTTTGTATATTTACATCACCAGAGACTGTATATCTACATCTCCAGAGTTTGTATATCTACATCTCCAGAGACTCAATACAAATTTATAGTTTACCCATATACATACAGTGCTGTACACAGAGTTGTGCTGTAGTCTAGTCTAGGTTTGAGAGGATTCTACTGACTACAAACACAGATGCAGCAGAAACTCAGTGACACAAATTCCAAGGGGCCAACAAATATAGATTTTGTGTCAAATAATTGGTGCTGGGGTGGGGGGGGGGGGGGGGGGGACCAAGTAGTTTGTCTTAAGCTATTTCATGTTAGGAAGATTCTACTGTATATTGTTAGTCTAGTTTCTAGGAGATTCCTGTCATTTATGTCACTAGAAAGAAAGATGCACCATAAGTCTAGTTTCTGAAAGATTCTTACCCTTAAGTTACTACAAATAGAGATGTGTCTTAAGTCTAGTTTCTGGAAGATTTTTACCCTTAAGTTACTACAAATAGAGATGTGTCTTAAGTCTAGTTTCTGGAAGATTTTTACTCTTAAGTTACTACAAATAGAGATGTGTCTTAAGTCTAGTTTCTGGAAGATTTTTACCCTTAAGTTACTACAAATAGAGATGTGTCTTAAGTCTAGTTTCTGGAAGATTTTTACCCTTAAGTTACTACAAATAGAGATGTGTCTTAAGTCTAGTTTCTGGAAGATTTTTACCCTTAAGTTACTACAAATAGAGATGTGTCTTAAGTCTAGTTTCTGGAAGATTTTTACCCTTAAGTTACTACAAATAGAGATGTGTCTTAAGTCTAGTTTCTGGAAGATTTTTACCCTTAAGTTACTACAAATAGAGATGTGTCATAAGTTTAGTTTCTGGAAGATTTTTACCCTTAAGTTACTACAAATAGAGATGTGTCATAAGTTTAGTTTCTGGAAGATTTTTACCCTTAAGTTACTACAAATAGAGATGTGTCATAAGTTTAGTTTCTGGAAGATTTTTACCCTTAAGTTAGTACAAATATGTGTTGTGAGTAGTTTTCAGAAGAGTACGCTTATGTTCCTACAACTTGGGATGTTTGATGATGATGTTTCTTACCTTTATATTGCCACAAAAATCCATTTTAACAGGTGCAAAAGCAGTGCTGTTGAGTTTATCTGCAAGACACATGGATAAAAGTTGACAGTTTGATTTCTGCACAAAAACACATTGAATAATGGGTACATGTTTAATCTTCTTTCTTCTTCTGCCTTTCTATCCCCCAATGGAGCATGGGCCCTCAACCAACTCACGCCAAGTCGTTCTATCCTTCGCCATTTCATGGAGCTCTCCCCCATGTCCTCCCAATCTTTCTAACCTCGTTCTCCAGCTCTCTTCTCCATGTGTTTTTTGGCCTACCTTTATTCCTATGCCCCTGTGGGATCCAATGCAAAGACATTCTAGTAATGCTGTTCTCCTGTTTTCTCAGTGTGTGCCCTATCCAACGCCAGCGTCTTTTCCTCACTTCCTGATCCACTGGAGCCTGTTTAGTTCTCTCCCATCCCAAAGTTCTACATTAGTTATTCTATCATACCATTTTATTCCCTCTATTCTGCGCAGGCACCAGTTAATGAATGTCTGTAATTTATTGGTAATTGCCTTAGTTGTTCTCCATTTTTCTGCCCCATACAATAGTACTGATTTGACATTAGAATTAAAAATTTTTAGTTTAGTATTTCTTTAAATTTCTTTTGACCTCCACAAATTCCCTAGTGCTATGAAAGCCCCTCTTGCCTTTTGTATTCTTATTTTAATATCTCTATCAGTTCCTCCATCTTTATCTACATTACTGCCTAAATAGGTGTACTACTCCATGTCTTGGAGTGGGGTGCCATTAAGAGAAACCACATTACTATTTGCCTGATTTATTCTCATTATCTTTGTCTTTCCTTTATGGATTTTCAGACCAAGCTGCTGTGATCTCGCATCTAGTATATTTAATTTATCTTGCATTTGATTCCGTGAATGGGACAGAAGAGCAATATCATCAGCGAAGTCCAGATCATCAAGCTGTTTTGTAGGGGTCCACTGAATTCCATTCTTGGTGTTAGCAGTTACTGTTTTCATAGTCCAGTCTATAGCCAGTAAAAATAAGAAAGGCGACAAAAGACATCCCTGTCGTACACCTGTTTTTATTTCAAATGCATCTGTTAGCTTTCCCTCATAAAGAACTCGACATTTCATGTCTTTATATGTTGCCTTTACTAAGTTGATAATTTTCTGTGGGATTCCATAGTGCCCCATCAATTTCCAGAGAGATTCCCTATCTATGCTGTCAAATGCTTTTTCATAGTCTATAAATCCAATGTAAAGTGGTGAGTTCAGTTCAATGCTTTGCTCTATTATAATACGTATTGTGGCTATCTGATCAGTACAGGATCTGTTTGACCGAAAACCTGCCTGCTCATCTCTTAGCATTTTATCAATAGCATCTTTTAATCTTTCCAAAATAATTCTACTTAATATTTTTCCAGGAACTGACAGAAACATAATTCCTCTATAGTTTTCACACTCCTGTAGATCACCTTTTTTGGGCAGTTTCACAAGATATCCTTCTCTCCAGTCTGCTGGTATTTCTTCGGTCTCCCAGACTTTACTGAATAATCTATGTAGCAATTCTGTTGATGTGTTTATGTTGGTCCTGATGGCTTCAGCTGGGATACCATCTGGGCCTGTCGCCTTTCCTTCCTTGAGAAGATTTATAGCTTTTCTAATTTCCTCTTTGGATGGTATCTCACAGTTGATATCCAGTTCCATTTCTAAAGGCTGGATATCTGGGGGAACCTCTGGGCCTGGTCTATTTAGAAGCAGTTTAAAATATTCAACCCATCTGTCCATTTGATCTTTAGTGTTAGTAAGTACCTTTCCTTGACTATTTTTGATTGATCCAGTTGGCTGACTATATTTACCTACTAATTTTCTTGTGTCACTGTAAAGTTCTCTGAGGTTTCCTTTTGCTGCTGCTGTCTCTGATTCTTGTGCTAGATCATTTAGATATTTCACGTTATCTGCCCTTATATGCCTCCTAACTTACTTGTTGGCTTCTGTGTATTTCTCCTGAGCTCTAGCTTTAGCAGCTCTAGTTTTGCTATTGTTTAATTCTGTCTTTTTACTTTTCCTGTCTTCAATCAGTTTAATGGTTTCTGGTGTTATCCATGCTTTATGTTTTCCTTTCTTTCTTGCCAAGAACTTCTATGCAAGATTCATTCCAGATTCCTTTGATCTGATCCCAGCAGACTTCTGTGTTGACATCTTCAGCTAACTGCTGCAACATCTGGTACTTATTAGAGACCGTAACTGAGAACTGTTCCTTAATTTCTTTATCTCTGAGAAAGCCTACATTATATTGGTTTCTATGATTATAAGATGTTATATATCTTTTTAGTTTCAACTTGATTTTACTTACCACCAGGAAATGGTCAGTAAATACATAGGCACCTCTGAAAGCCCTAACATCGTAAAGGGATGATCTAAACTTTTTGTTAATACATATGTGGTCAATTTGATTAGTTGTCTTATGGTCTGGTGATTCCCATGTTGCCTTGTGTATACTTTTATGGGGGAAAAATACTTCCACCAATAACATACTGGTTACCTGCACAAAAATTTGTGAACAATTCTCCATTTTCATTCATTACTCCTAGACCATGTCTCCCCATAATTTCTTCATAACCTGTGTTGTCTGATCCTATCTTAGCATTCGTCACCCATCAAAATTTTTAACTTGCCCTTTCTTTCATTATTTATAATATTTTGAAGCTTCATGTACAATTCTTCCTTAACAGATGCATCTTTATCATTTGTTGGTGCATAACACTGTATTACCGACATGTTCACCTTCTGTTTTACTGTTATTACATGGGTAAAAGTTGATAGTTTGATTTCTGCACAAAAACACATTGAATAATGGGTACATGGGTATACTTATTCCTATCTTCCTATTTGTCATCTTCTCCTCTTTCTTTTTCTTCTTCTGTCTGCCAATCCACACTGGCACAATAGACCATAGGCACTGGACCCAGGAAGCACAGGCACCTTAAGTCCTAGCAAAAATAGCTCCTGACGCCACCAACCCCCTCCCCCAAGCATATACAGACATGATCTTTAAAAGCATTTATTTACACATTACATATTATTTCAAATATGTTATTTTTATTTTCCATTCAACACATAATAATCATAATCATTATTTTGTTAACAATTATTATTGCACAATTGCACAAAGCTGAAGCCCCTAGAGGCTGACCAGTAATTTTATAGTAGCCAGATAGCTTTTCATAAAGAAGCCAGGAGAGTGAGCTGGGAATGCAGCTTGTGGTTCCCTGGTAATTTTATAGTCGCCAGGTAGCTGATCATAAAAAAAGCCAACATAGTGAGCTGGAAACACAGCTTGTGGTTCCCCAGTAATTTTATAGTCGCCAGGTAGTTGATCATAAAGAAGCCACCACAGTGAGCTGGGAATGCAGCTTGTTCAGGGAATGGCAGCAACCGGACGAGCTGGCTTTGGAGTTTTAGGGTTAAAACCTCATTTTCACAATTTTAGGTAAAAACTCACCAAATATAGGGACTAGATGTCTGCAGGCGTCCAAAAATGGGACCACCAGAATCTGATCTTCCTGGCTAGTATCCACATGAGCAAAGCTGAAATAAATAAACTCAATGACAACTTGGACACATATACTGAACGAACTGTGTGGTCTTGAGGTATGCCTCCGCCTCAAGTGCTGAGGTCCCGGGTTCAAGCCTGGGGCTTTTTCTCGTAGTCATTTTCCCTGGTCTCTGGGTAGTAAGATCGGACGCCCATGTGTATTGTTGAACACGTTAAATATATACATTTTTCAGTATCTTATGTCATAAATCACTCTCACTAAACGCCAAAAAATGAGCAGTGAAATGTTATGCCGAGCATATTCTGTTGTATGGCACTGAATCTTGTAATGTGAGCAAAGAAATTAAGTAGAGCTTGGAGGCAACTGAGATGTGGTTCAGCTTGGAGGCAACTGAGATGTGGTTCAGCTTGGAGGCAACTGAGATGAGGTTCAGCTTGGAGGCAACTGAGATGAGGTACAGCTTGAAGGCAACTGAGATGTGGTTGAGCTTAGAGGCAACTGAGATGTGGTTCAGCTTGGAGGCAACTGAGATGTGGTTCAGCTTGGAGGCAACTGAGATGTGGTTCAGCTTGGAGGCAACTGAGATGTGGTTCAGCTTGGAGGCAACTGAGATGTGGTTCAGCTTGGAGGCAACTGAGATGTGGTTCAGCTTGGAGGCAACTGAGATGTGGTTCAGCTTGGAGGCAACTGAGATGAGGTTCAGCTTGGAGGCAACTGAGATGAGGTTCAGCTTGGAGGCAACTGAGATGTGGTTCAGCTTGGAGGCAGCTGAGATGTGGTTCAGCTTGGAGGCAACTGAGATGTGGTTCAGCTTGGAGGCAACTGAGATGTGGTTCAGCTTGGAGGCAACTGAGATGAGGTTCAGCTTGGAGGCAACTGAGATGTGGTTCAGCTTGGAGGCAGCTGAGATGTGGTTCAGCTTGGAGGCAACTGAGATGTGGTTCAGCTTGGAGGCAACTGAGATGTGGTTCAGCTTGGAGGCAACTGAGATGTGGTTCTTGAGAAGAATATTGTGAATATCTTGGACTGCCAGAAAAACTAACAATGATTGCCTGGAAATGGCTAATAAAAGTAGAACATTATATACAACAATAAGAAGCAGACAAACAAAGTTCTTTTGTCATAAGATGAGAAACAGAGCACTGGAAAATATTGCGACGACTGGAAAAATCACTGGTAGAAGAGGCAGAGGCGGACCAACAGAAATGATGGTGGATGGCTTAGACAGTGGCATGGAGGAATATCATCAGGGGAATTGATCCAGAACACCAAAGACAGAGATCTGTGGAGATGCATGAATGCCTATGCCAGTAGGCAAGGCACTTGATGATAATGATTTTTGAGGGAATTCAGAGGTACTGGCAGTTTTTAAAAAAAAGGTACTGTAAATTATCTATATACACCAGGGTCACAAATAAAAAATACTAAATAAGACTTTAAGGCACCACTGCACACAAAGGTAATAGAGGAAACAACTGCTATAAGACTAATGTATCACTAACTCTAGGGTAGAAACAGAAAGACCAAGGAATGATTGTAAGGTTGCTCTACATTTGAGGGTAGGAGAGGAAATGAATGTTTTAGTAATTCACAAATAATTATATGATAACTGAATTATACTGACCTTTTGGGCATGGATGAGAAAAATGTCAGGATGTTTTCATCAATAGCATCCTTGAAATCATCGAGGTTCTCCAGATCTTCAGATGAAGTCGCTGATGATGGGGCATGAGAACTAATTTGTTCATGGGCTGTCTTTAGGGAACTGCTAGAACTCCCAGTAGGATCAGCTATACCGTTGACCCCATGTTTCACAGAAGGGTCCGAGGGTGACCGAGATGGAGTGCGGCCAGGGAGTTCAGGTGATGGAGTTGCAGAATCAGACCTCACTGGCGAGACGCTGGGAAAATGTGGCACCATGTGCCCAGATGGTGGATGGGATGGATTGGGGGAATGAAGTGTGGGAGATAGGGAAGTTTTGGATGTGGAACTAATGCTGAGTGAGGGAAATGGGGAGGATTGTGTGTGAATCTTCATACTGTCTGTCGAACTAACTGAAACCGTCCTGTGTTTTGAAGATCTGCTAAAAAAATAAAACCAACAACATGGAACTCTAAATTATACTGTTTTAAAACCAAATTATACATCTTTAATTCTTCTGTTATTTCTTTCTCTTCTTAGCATTCACCGGCTGTAAACTCCGGTGAAAAGTTCTGAGTGTTCGTCCACCTCCTGACTTTATTCTTGCTCCAGAACCTGACTGTTGCGTACACATCCGTTTCATAGATCTGGCTTATTTATATGCAGAGTCTTGGTCCTTTGCCTCTCAGGCAGATGTAGTCCTACTGCGATACAGCGAAAGATGTTTCCAATTAGTTGACTCCCAGGACATGCTTTTTGGGAAGGCGGATGGTCTATTCTTTTTTTTTTCTACACTGGGGCCCCAGAACTCACATGGGGATACTGTTATTTGATTTCTACTATATGCTAAAGAAAATGGGTGTCCCAGACAGGGAATAAAATGTTGCTTAGTGCATATGCCTTGCATAAAATATCACAACATCTAGTTTGAGAATGGAGGTGGAGGCAGTCTCTGCTGCCTTCTGCTGGCTTGAGAACCAGCTGTACACATGTGCTGTAATTGTAACTGACTCACAGAGCATGTTGAGAAATGTGAAAACAGGCATGCTTCGTGTAGAGTGGCAAGCATCACTTCAGAGGTCCCAGGTAGTTAGCATCCTTTAGATATTTTCTCCAGGTAATGCCGGTGTGTTTGAAAATGAGCAGGCAGATAGATTGGCTGGCTCTGCACCACTTGGTGGTGAATTGATGAATGACAAGTTAGACATTGTGAGGGCACTTTGGGAGCGAGTGAATAGTGTGGAGGCACAGATAGATCATTACGGTCTAAGAAGAATGGGGCTGTGAGGATTTACCAGGGGATCTGGTCGGCGCTCAACATTAAGGGGAAGGATGAGATGGATACACAATTAGATGGTTTCTGGTACCATCAGAATTGGAACTCTTTGCTTGCTACTGAAGATGGGGACTGAGCACTTATGGGATTGTCCAGAGTGCTGTGATGTTGATTCTTAATTCAACATTCAACAGGGAATAAAAATTAAATGCATTTGAAAACAAATGCAGTAGGAAGCTTGTGAATATTAAATGAAGTGAATTAAAAAAAAGGCACACAAAAAAAAATCAGAGAAATGTCTGGACAAAAGCTAGTATCAAGTTGTAAAACAAAGAAGATGGCAACATTAGCTCTTATTAATAGGTTAACATTCCATTCTCCAATTCTTCAAGTCGTTTAAAAGTGGACTTCTGAAATTAACAGAGTTCGATATCAATAACAACACTTAAAAACACTAAGAATTTAGTAAACAAACTGACATAACTCAAGCAAAAACAAATTTTGGCACATTAAGTACTTACTTTTCAACAGGTCTTGTGATAACCGATCTTGTTCCCTGGAAAAAAAAAGTAAATTAAAATGCCATTATATCTCAAAGATTTCATGGTGGTAAAGTGGCCTACTGCAAGGACGACTGTCCCGGATGAATTCCCAGTTGTAGCAAGGTCTTCCCCAGGGTTGACCCTGCCTCATAATATGAGTACCAAACATTTCCAGAATGTTCTGGAAATTTAGAAAGAAGGTGGTAAGGAAGGAAACTACTGATATAATCCCATCTTATTATGCTATGAACTAATGTATGTCTATTCCTAACACTTCTGCACAACTACTGACATCAAAGGTAATAAGATACCGAACAAATATGATAGATTGGGCCCATTCTGAGACACAGTTGACAATGAATCATCACAAAACAGGTGCTGAAATGGGAAAGATGTAAAAGAGAAAATGACACAATTCACACAATATCAACAGTATTTCAGAGGAAAAAACAAGACAGAGCAATTGATTGTGATCCCTATTGAAAGACTTGAGTAGGTACAAAATGAAGCAATACGCATTATTCTGGTGTGCACTGGAGACACCTCTTGTGTTGCAATGAGGTACTTTTTTGACTTCCCTACCATGAACTATAGGATCAAGATCTGGAGAGCTCGTGCATACCTCAAGATAAGTTCAGATCTGAAGCACCCTTTGCACCACATGCTCTTTAAGAAAAAGGGCAATAGGCTTAAAAGGGGCAAATCATGGCTGGGTAGGGCAGAGGATATCATGCAAGCTTGCAGCCTTACAGACATCCATCCAGGTGAGGAATGGATACCAGCGTCTAAAGCGCCCAATCTCACATTCTCCTGTGTCATGACGCTCGATAGGAGTTGTCGGGAGCTGAATCCAGCTGCTGTCAATGCCGAGGTATGCACACTTATCAGTGACAAGTCAGATGAGACAGATGTGGTGGTATTCAGACGGGTCCATTATACGAGGACATAAAGAGTGCATTGACATTTACAGCTCGCTCTTCAGGCAGAACAGTTCAAGAAGCCAGCGGTGCTTTCCCAATGACCACCAGCAGCATGACGATGGAGGTGATGGCGGTGACACAAGCTTTCATGTAGCTAAAATCACAGGACTATTCCTGCGTGTGTGTGCTGAGTGATTCTTTGAGCATGATCCGGCGGGTCGAGGCAGGCTGGTTACACAGACAGTGATTTGAGTTGTTGCAAAACTCTCCTGTGTGTTCAGTTATCTTAATATTCGTCCCAGTGCACGCAGGCATTGTTGGTAATGAAAGAGTTGATAGACTGGCAGGTGCTGCATTAATTGAAGATGGCCGGCCCATGGATCATGCAGACATTGTCATTGCCTTAGAGAGATAAGATTTTCTGAGGTTTTAGGAAGCAACGTGTCCACATCACTGCTAAGAATATGAGAATTGGGAGTAAAGATCGGCACAGCCAAGCATGAGAAGCACACCAGATGCACAAGAAGTCTTGTTAATCAACATAGGACTGGCCCTATTAACTGCACGACGCTGATGAATATGTTAAGAGGGTAATCTGAGTGCCTATGGATGTGTCCGGAGTTCTGTGAAGATAATCAGACTCATAACTCAACCACAATAACGGCTGACAGGAATGATTTCCAACATTCTTTGTCTCTTGTCTTGGTCATATAGAAACATAGACTGCTAATAATCTATCTCTTGATGTTTCCTTTCACTTTATCCCCGTCTGCCTATTGATCTCAACTTTTCCCTCCAGTACTGCTTTTAAAAGAGTGTTATTTCTTTTAATGAAGCCGAAATAGGTCATCTATCTCTTTTTAATTTCTCCCAGCAACTCTCTTCTTATTCCAAGTTTCTCCAGAAGTTCTGTTATTTGTTTTTTGTTAGTACAAAAGATGAAACAGAATGGTGAATAAAATATACAACAGGATGAAAATGATAAAGAAGGGTGCAGGTAAGGACTTACTGGTAATCTCTGAACATTAGCTCTTGTTGGAGACGTTGGGATGGCAGCGTCACGGACGTGCTGGTGTGGGGATTCAAACATGGGTGTGTTGGACACCAGCTTCATGCATTCATCAAGGGTGGCAATGAAGGTGTCACATGTTACCACCACCAATGAGGTGGATTCTGTCAGCTTCTGGGGATTTATGATATTATCATGAGAACATTACCTAAACCTTGCAATCACCAACCTCATCACTGATACAATCCTATTCTTTAACTGCCTAAACTAGAGCAGACATTGGTCATCCTGACCATCAAGTCTTTTTGGATGTCTAGTGTGAAGTGAATACAGATGGTTCAATCTTCTTTTGATGTCTTGTCTGAAGCCAACACTGATGGTCCAATCTTCTTATTATGTCTGGTCTGAAGCCAACACTGATGGTCCAATCTTTTTATTATGTCTGGTCTGAAGCCAACACTGATGGTCCAATCTTCTCATTATGTCTGGTCTGAAGCCAACACTGATGGTCCAATCTTCTTTTGACGTCTTGTCTGAAGCCAACACTGATGGTCCAATCTTCTTTTGATGTCTTGTCTGAAGCCAACACTGATGGTCCAATCTTCTTATTATGTCTGGTCTGAAGCCAACACTGATGGTCCAATCTTCTTATTATGTCTGGTCTGAAGCCAACACTGATGGTCCAGTCTTCTTTTGATATCTGGTCTGAAGCCAAGACTGATGGTCCAATCTTCTTATTATGTCTGGTCTGAAGCCAACACTGATGGTCCAATCTTTTTATTATGTCTGGTCTGAAGCCAACACTGATGGTCCAATCTTCTTATTATGTCTGGTCTGAAGCCAACACTGATGGTCCAATCTTTTTATTATGTCTGGTCTGAAGCCAACACTGATGGTCCAATCTTCTTATTATGTCTGGTCTGAAGCCAACACTGATGGTTCAGTCTTCTTTTGATGTCTTGTCTAAAGCCAACACTGATGGTCCAGTCTTCTTTTGATATCTGGTCTGAAGCCAACACTGATGGTGCAAGCTTTTCTGGATGTATGGCCTTAATCATACACTGATGATCTTGACTTTCCAGTCATCAATGTCATATTTAGAAAAACACTAAACAGTTTATAATATTTTATCTTTCTACTGAAGTTTTTTTCCTGAAGGGAGTAAGAACATTTAAATACTCAGGAAGTATGGCCACATACACTAGTAGAATAAACATGAAAATTGCAGTAAGATACCAAAACGTCAAGCACACATACATACCAACTGGCACCATTATTAAGATATTCAAACATAACTATGTTCTCAAAAGAACAGATCATTTGTAGCATATTTACTCTGACAATATGCTACATACCTTAAACTTGTATACTATCAACAAGTTAAATAAATAAATTGATGACAGAGGTGATGTTAGTACATCTGAACAAAGAATTGGGCGTGGCACAAGAGATGAGAACATTTCTACAGCTGAAAATGCTGTTTGTAAATGGAGAAAGGCTGCTCAAAATGAACTTATAAAGCTTGACAATCTTCCTGCATATGAAGAAGAACAAGGTGCCATGTTAGTCACAACTGTGTGTGCGCCGATTGATTTTTTGGGGAAGAAAAAAGCAATTGCAGCTGAGAAAAAAATTGCATATCATCCTGTTTTATATGAGAAATGATTAAGGCATTTTGGTCATTACCTGGCATGACACTAAGAGAGTTCACCAAATATCTACTGTTTACTCTAATGATACTATGGACAAGACAGTTAGGAAAGTGGGAGTCTTGAGGGCAGAATAATAAATAAATACAACAGTAAAGGGGGCGTGGGGGGTGAGGGTTGATCACTGCGGCCAGCTGGGTGCAAACTACCCCCACACACATAGATACTATAAAATGGTACCTGCCATTATATTATTTATTTATTTTTAGTTGAAACTGCCAAGATGACAATGAGCATGTAAGCTACGACACTGCCAGCTCTATGTATAGGGTCACAGCAAAGAGGTCCAGGCAGGATGTCAGTCTTATTTTTGGATCTGCTGTTCTTCAGCACAATCTAAAATAAAATAAGATGAAACTTTGCAGAAGAGTACCTCAACATCCAGCTTGCCATCCGACGTGGACACGGTTTGTTTGATAGAGTGAACCTGCTGCATGAGAAGATCACAGTACAAACGCAGTTCTGACTTCTTGGTCCTCATCAGATCTGGCACAGCATCTGTGAAATTAGCAACAATAACAACATCAAAAACAAGTATCAGACTTTGTTCTTCACTTTCTCTTTTACTGCTTCAGGTGTCAAAGGAGATATAAAGTTCTGCTTTGACTCTTCCAGCCAGCTCAACAACAGACACATTGTATTTTTGTAGAGTTTCTTCTGCCTTTCAACTCTCAGTGGAGCATAAGTCTTCAACCCACTCACGCCAAGTCCCTGGTGATGGTAGTGGTACTGGTGGTGGGAGTAGTGGTGGTAACAGCAGCACTGGGGGTGGTTGTGGTGGTAGCAGTATAGTGGTAGTAGTACTGGTAGTGGTGGTAGTGGTAATAGCATCAGTAGTATATGAGGTGGTAGCAGTAGTGGTTACAGCAGCACTGGTGGTGGTAGTTGTGGTGATAGAAGCAGTAGTATATGAGGTGGTAGCAGCAGTAGTATATGAGATGGTAGCAGCAATAGTATATGAGGTGGTAGCAGCAGTAGTATATGAGGTGGTAGCAGCAGTAGTAGATGAGGTGGTAGCAGCAGTAGTAGATGAGGTGGTAGCAGCAGTAGTATATGAGGTGGTAGCAGCAGTAGTAGATGAGGTGGTAGCAGCAGTAGTAGATGAGGTGGTAGCAGCAGTAGTATATGAGGTGGTAACAGCAGTAGTATATGAGGTGGTAGCAGCAGTAGTATATGAGGTGGTAGAGGCAGTAGTATATGAGGTGGTAGCAGCAGTAGTATATGAGGTGGTAGCAGCAGTAGTATATGAGGTTATAGCAGTTGTGCTTGTGGTCAAAACTGACCTGCCTCTTTCTTGGCAGCACTAGCCTCACTGAAGGATGCCTTGGAGCTGCCTAAGGCTATCAGCCAGGACTGCCTATCTTGTGGGGTCCCAGCTTTGACGTAGTAATGTTGCTCCCCAGGAATGATCAGGTCCAGCCGGGTCATGTCTGTTGGATGAACTGAAATCAAGCAGTATGTGAGATTATAATACAGCTTTTATGTGAGGTCCAGGTCTCGTTATCTGAACTACGTACATGAATAATCATGTTGTAAACTGTCTGTTATAGAATTGGAATGAGTTAACAGTTACCTGGCATTTCCTTGAGGTGGTCTACAGCAGAAGTTGGTGAGCTACAGCACATGACCATGTAAGTTAGTAAGCTACAGCACATGACCAAGTAAGTTGGCAAGCTACAGCACATGACCATGTAAGTTGGTAAGCTACAGCACATGACCATGTAAGTTGGTAAGCTACAGCACATGACCAAGTAAGTTAGTAAGCTACAGCACATGACCATGTAAGTTGGTAAGCTACAGCACATGACCAAGTAAGTTGGTAAGCTACAGCACATGATCAAGTAAGTTGGTAAGCTACAACACATGACCAAGTAAGTTGGTAAGCTACAGCACATGACCAAGTAAGTTGGTAAGCTACAGCAAATGACCATGTAAGTTGGTAAGCTACAGCACATGACCAAGTAAGTTAGTAAGCTACAGCACATGACCATGTAAGTTGGTAAGCTACAGCACATGACCAAGTAAGTTGGTAAGCTACAGCACATGACCATGTAAGTTGGTAAGCTACAGCACATGACCAAGTAAGTTGGTAAGCTACAGCACATGATCAAGTAAGTTGGTAAGCTACAACACATGACCAAGTAAGTTGGTAAGCTACAGCACATGACCAAGTAAGTTGGTAAGCTACAGCAAATGACCATGTAAGTTGGTAAGCTACAGCACATGATCATGTAAGTTGGTAAGCTACAGCACATGATCATGTAAGTTGGCAAGCTACAGCACATGACCAAGTAAGTTGGTGAGCTACAGCACATGACCATGTAAGTTGGTAAGCTACAGCACATGACCATGTAAGTTGGTAAGCTACAGCACATGACCAAGTAAGTTGGTAAGCTACAGCACATGACCATGTAAGTTGGTAAGCTACAGCACATGATCATGTAAGTTGGTAAGCTACAGCACATGATCATGTAAGTTGGCAAGCTACAGCACATGACCAAGTAAGTTGGTAAGCTACAGCACATGACCATGTAAGTTGGTAAGCTACAGCACATGACCATGTAAGTTGGTAAGCTACAGCACATGACCATGTAAGTTGGTAAGCTACAGCACATGATCAAGTAAGTTGGTAAGCTACAGCACATGATCATGTAAGTTGGTAAGCTACAGCACATGACCAAGTAAGTTGGTAAGCTACAGCACATGACCAAGTAAGTTGGTAAGCTACAGCACATGACCAAGTAAGTTGGTAAGCTACAGCACATGACCATGTAAGTTGGTAAGCTACAGCACATGACCAAGTAAGTTGGTAAGCTACAGCACATGACCATGTAAGTTGGTAAGCTACAACACATGACCAAGTAAGTTGGTAAGCTACAGCACATGACCAAGTAAGTTGGTAAGCTACAGCAAATGACCATGTAAGTTGGTAAGCTACAGCACATGACCAAGTAAGTTGGTAAGCTACAGCAAATGACCATGTAAGTTGGTAAGCTACAGCACATGATCATGTAAGTTGGTAAGCTACAGCACATGACCATGTAAGTTGGTAAGCTACAGCACATGACCAAGTAAGTTGGTAAGCTACAGCACATGACCATGTAAGTTGGTAAGCTACAGCACATGACCAAGTAAGTTGGTAAGCTACAGCACATGACCATGTAAGTTGGTAAGCTACAGCACATGATCATGTAAGTTGGTAAGCTACAGCACATGATCATGTAAGTTGGTAAGCTACAGCACATGACCAAGTAAGTTGGCAAGCTACAGCACATGACCATGTAAGTTGGTAAGCTACAGCACATGACCAAGTAAGTTGGTGAGCTACAGCACATGACCAAGTAAGTTGGTGAGCTACAGCACATGACCAAGTAAGTTGGTGAGCTACAGCACATGACCAAGTAAGTTGGTGAGCTACAGCACATGACCAAGTAAGTTGGTGAGCTACAGCACATGACCAAGTAAGTTGGTGAGCTACAGCACATGACCAAGTAGGTTGGTGAGCTACAGCACATGACCAGGTAAGTTAGTAAGCTACAGCACATGACCAGGTAAGTTAGTAAGCTACAGCACATGACCAGGTAAGTTGGTAAGCTACAGCACATGATCATGTAAGTTGGTAAGCTACAGCACATGACCATGTAAGTTAGTAAGCTACAGCACATGATCAAGTAAGTTGGTGAGCTACAGCACATGACCATGTAAGTTAGTAAGCTACAGCACATGACCAGGTAAGTTGGTAAGCTACAGCACATGACCATGTAAGTTAGTAAGCTACAGCACATGATCAAGTAAGTTGGTGAGCTACAGCACATGACCATGTAAGTTGGTGAGCTACAGCACATGACCATGTAAGTTGGTGAGCTACAGCACATGACCATGTAAGTTGGTGAGCTACAGCACATGACCATGTAAGTTAGTAAGCTACAGCACATGACCAAGTAAGTTAGTAAGCTACAGCACATGACCATGTAAGTTGGTGAGCTACAGCACATGACCAAGTAAGTTGGTAAGTTACAGCACATGACCATGTAAGTTGGTAAGTTACAGCACATGACCAAGTAAGTTGGTAAGCTACAGCACATGACCAAGTAAGTTGGTGAGCTACAGCACATGACCAAGTAAGTTAGTAAGCTACAGCACATGATCAAGTAAGTTGGTGAGCTACAGCACATGACCAAGTAAGTTGGTAAGCTACAGCACATGACCAAGTAAGTTAGTAAGCTACAGCACATGACCATGTAAGTTGGTAAGCTACAGCACATGACCATGTAAGTTGGTAAGCTACAGCACATGACCATGTAAGTTGGTAAGCTACAGCACATGACCAAGTAAGTTGGTAAGCTACAGCACATGACCATGTAAGTTGGTAAGCTACAGCACATGACCAAGTAAGTTGGTAAGCTACAGCACATGACCATGTAAGTTGGTAAGCTACAGCACATGACCAGGTAAGTTGGTAAGCTACAGCACATGACCATGTAAGTTAGTAAGCTACAGCACATGACCATGTAAGTTGGTAAGCTACAGCACATGACCAGGTAAGTTAGTAAGCTACAGCACATGACCAAGTAAGTTAGTAAGCTACAGCACATGACCATGTAAGTTAGTAAGCTACAGCACATGACCAAGTAAGTTGGCAAGCTACAGCACATGACCAAGTAAGTTGGCAAGCTACAGCACATGACCAAGTAAGTTGGCAAGCTACAGCACATGACCAGGTAAGGTGGTAAGCTACAGCACATGACCAAGTAAGTTAGTAAGCTACAGCACATGACCATGTAAGTTGGTGAGCTACAGCACATGACCAAGTAAGTTAGTAAGCTACAGCACATGACCAAGTAAGTTAGTAAGCTACAGCACATGACCAAGTAAGTTAGTAAGCTACAGCACATGACCATGTAAGGTGGTAAGCTACAGCACATGACCAAGTAAGTTAGTAAGCTACAGCACATGACCAAGTAAGTTGGCAAGCTACAGCACATGACCAAGTAAGTTGGTAAGCTACAGCACATGACCATGTAAGTTGGTAAGCTACAGCACATGACCAAGTAAGTTGGTAAGCTACAGCACATGACCATGTAAGTTGGTAAGCTACAGCACATGACCAGGTAAGTTGGTAAGCTACAGCACATGACCATGTAAGTTAGTAAGCTACAGCACATGACCATGTAAGTTGGTAAGCTACAGCACATGACCAGGTAAGTTAGTAAGCTACAGCACATGACCAAGTAAGTTAGTAAGCTACAGCACATGACCATGTAAGTTAGTAAGCTACAGCACATGACCAAGTAAGTTGGCAAGCTACAGCACATGACCAAGTAAGTTGGCAAGCTACAGCACATGACCAAGTAAGTTGGCAAGCTACAGCACATGACCAGGTAAGGTGGTAAGCTACAGCACATGACCAAGTAAGTTAGTAAGCTACAGCACATGACCATGTAAGTTGGTGAGCTACAGCACATGACCAAGTAAGTTAGTAAGCTACAGCACATGACCAAGTAAGTTAGTAAGCTACAGCACATGACCAAGTAAGTTAGTAAGCTACAGCACATGACCATGTAAGGTGGTAAGCTACAGCACATGACCAAGTAAGTTAGTAAGCTACAGCACATGACCAAGTAAGTTGGCAAGCTACAGCACATGACCAAATTAAGTTAAATAATAGTTGTAGATAAAATTATCGCAATCTGGTTGGCACGCTGAGTGACTTTGCAAAATTATATCTCTTCTTCTTCTTTGCGTTCGGTTTCGTATGCTCAGATCAGACCATCAGGTGGGTTGCCTCTATGAACTCGCATGTGAGCTGCAGGTCCTGCATGGTTCCCCATAGCTTGCTCTGCGCACTCTGCTCTTAAAGCCAGGTGTCTTTTCGAAGTTGCAGGTAAAGTGGGCAGGTCTGCAGAATGTGCTGAGGTGTTTGGGGTCCTGTTTGACAGGTACTCTGGGGGTAACTGTACAAATTAAACAATAAAACAACATACCAACTATATCACAGACTGCCATCTTAATTGATCCTTTGCATCCATTATTGACATCTTCCTGAGACTTATAGTAGGATAGTACTCCATTGTCTAGAATAAACCAACGAGGTTGCCACCCTGAAATATACAACAAAGACCAACAGGTTGATTATTTTATTATAAAGCAACATTAGTGAAGTTGTAAAAGACCACTATCATGCCAGTGACACATTGGGCACATGATGCTAGACTTATGTTTGTGAAGATTAATCAGCACTTGGTGAGTGATGCAGTCAACATCATGCCAAAAGTCCAATCAGCACTTAGTGAGTGATGCATCAACATCACGCTAAAAGACCAATCAGCACTTGGTGAGTGATGCATCAACGTCATGCCAAAAGACCAATCAGCATTTGGTGAGTGATGCATCAACGTCATGCCAAAAGACCAATCAGCATTTGGTGAGTGATGTGGCCAACATCATGCCAAAAGACCAATCAGCACTTGGTGAGTGATGCAGTCAACATCACGCCAAGGTGAGTGATGCAGTCAACATCACGCCAAAAGACCAATCAGCACTTGGTGAGTGATGTGGCCAACATCACGCCAAAAGACCAATCAGCACTTGGTGAGTGATATGGCCAACATCATGCCAAAAGACCAATCAGCACTTGGTGAGTGATGCAGTCAACATCACGCCAAAAGATCAATCAGCACTTGGTGAGTGATGCGGTCAACATGACGCCAAGAGACCAATCAGCACTTGGTGAGTGATGCATCAACATCACGCCAAAAGATCAATCAGCACTTGGTGAGTGATGCGGTCAACATCACGCCAAAAGATCAATCAGCACTTGGTGAGTGATGCATCAACATCACGCCAAAAGATCAATCAGCACTTGGTGAGTGATGCATCAACATCACGCCAAAAGATCAATCAGCACTTGGTGAGTGATGCAGTCAACATCACGCCAAAAGATCAATCAGCACTTGGTGAGTGATGCGGTCAACATCACGCCAAAAGATCAATCAGCACTTGGTGATTGATGCGGTCAACATCACACCAAAAGACCAATCAGCACTTGGTGAGTGATGCGGTCAACATGACGCCAAGAGACCAATCAGCACTTGGTGAGTGATGCGGTCAACATCACGCCAAACCCAACATTAACATTTCCATATAAGTGTCCACATGTAATGAAATATAGGCAGAAAGGGGTTAAATGAACAAAGCATACATTTCAGACCACCACACGGCGTACTAATCCATCACTGTGTGAAATGACAGAAATGGTTGATTAGAAAGCCATGGCCTAGCCAACTATGCAGAACATCTTCATGATAACCACCATGACATCTGACAGTGAGGGATGAAACATTCGACGAGTGCCCGTGAGCTGTGACCAGCTGAAGAGATACGTTCATCCAAACGTGACCACCAAAGACAGGTGACAGGGAAGTGATGGAGAAGGTACGCCAGAAAGAGCAGGAAAGCGGGAGAATAAAGTTGGCCCCCGAAACCGCTTGAGAGGACAAGTTAGGACCGGACAGCTTGAGAGACCTGTTGAGAACACCAGTGCTGTACTTCGTTTAGAAGGATATGTTAAACTTGGAGTTTAACTAGAACAGAGAGTTAGCTCCCGAAACCGCTTGATAGGACAGGTTAGGGCTGAACCGCTGGAGTTTAGCTAGAACAGTTGTCAAGGAACTCGTAGAGAGTCATACGAATAGCCTGTATCCAGATATAAAGTATTCATATACTATTGCTTATTGAATGTATGAAATGTGTGTGACGAGAATATTGTAAATAAACCAGCTCTTGTGTAATTGATTACATCACTGGCCTTGTTCTTGAGTACGATTGAAGAGAGCTACGAACTATATTCATTCAACTTGGCCGAATTAGGCACATCTATTTCTTGGGGGATGTATAGGCACGACTGTGCCACACACAAGAGGAAATCTACACTAGATATTGTCACAGTCTGAAGTAACAAGCTCCACTGGCTGGACACCAAGGTGATGCTCTGTCTCTTAGTAGTTAGGAGAGTAAAGGAAGGAACGATGGGATTGGCAGAGTAGCAGAGAAAATGTTAGGCAGTGTGTGCATGTATGCTCAAACACGTACACTTCCTCAAATGTAATCGGCAAGGTACTGTGGTGAAATATTTCAGATTATTTTCAAATATAGGTTTAAAAGATGTTGAACAGGCAGGAGAAACTAGTGCTGAGCATTCAGTAACAATAACTCTCACAGAACTTTTTAGTTTTGTTCAGAGTCTGTTTCCCGAAATCGGCTCAACACCAAATTTACTGGGACAGCCATATTGCAAGCAAATGAAAATAACACTTTTGACTAAATTGTTCAACCTGAGACAACAATTTATAATGATCCCGGCAGGGAAAGCAAACTGTTCACACATCACATACTTTGAATTAGGTTATAATGACTGATTCTTCTAGCTGGTGTCTATAGTTGCCAGATTAATGTAGGCAGAAATGATAGTAGATGTCAAAACACTTGACCCTGAGTGATTTGACTACAGTTTTGTGTTTCCAACACTTGCGTTACTGCCATCAGTGGCTTCTTCAACCGTTCTGCCCACTGAGCGTGCGTGCTGTGAAAGCCCATGCTCTTCTTTGTTGGCTTATAACGGATCCGCCTGTGTAGATCAGTACATCTGCCACGTCTGAATTTTCACTAATGAGAGCGTTAACCTCTGCATTGACAGCAACAGGATTCTGCTTCTTGCATCGCTCCCTGTTGAGTGTGACAATACAGGAAAATGTACAAATAAACTTTATGAGGCATACTGTGGGAAATGGTCCAGCTTCTGAGCATGACACTGGTAAACAGTCCATGTTTCACATGCATAGAAAAGTACAGGAAGTACAACAGCTTTGTACACTTGGAGCTCCGTCTGCAGGCTGATGTCAGCTCTGTTCCAGACTTTTGTACCAAGTCGACCAAATGTGCTGCTGGCTTAGGGTGTCCTTGTGTTGATCTCTAGATCGATGTTAACTTTCTGAGTGAGTTAGTTGCCAAGACATGTAAACCTGTCTACTCTCTGTAGTGCTCTGCCCTTGACTGTAATGTTTGGTTTGGGTAGAATTGTTTCTGGGGCTGGCTGGAACATTATTTCAGTTTTGTCAGTAATTATGACAAGCCATAATTTGTACAGGCTTCAGATAATTTGGTTACACTAAGTTGTAGTTGAAGCTCTGAGCTGGCACAGATAGCACAGTCATCAGCAAAATACAATTCTCTAATGGTGTCTGACTTGACCTTGGTTTTAGCAGTTAACCTCCTGAGATTAAATAGACCACCATCAGTGGGATAAATGGCAGAAGACCAGGATCAAGGTGTGCTGCAAGGCAAGTCAGGATGACTCTGGCTAGCAATTTCCCTGCTACAAATAACAGGGAGATGCCCCGATGCTTGTCACAGAACATGCGATTTCCTTTTCACTTGTAGAGGAGAACAACTGAGGCATCCTTTAGGTCTTGTAGAACAGTCTTACTCTGCCATATCAGCTGGAAGATTTTATGAAGCTTCTCCACCAGAGTTGTACCACCTTCCTTGTAAATCTCAGCTGGTATTGAGTCAGCACCGGGAGCTTTACCGATTGAGAGTTGACGAATGGCATTTGTTGTCTCAGCCAGGGTAGGTAAGTCGTCTAGTAAGTTGTTTATGGGAACTTGAGGCAAGCGTTCTATGGCTCATCACTTCTAGATGATGTCTGGTTCAGGACACTTTCAAAATGCTCCGCCCAAAGTTTAAGGATGTCTGCATTATCCGAGATAAGAGTTTTTCAATCAGCACTGAGCAGGAGAGTAGATCCCGATTATACTGGACCACAGACTGCTCTTAAGGAATCATAAAAGTTTTTCATGTCATGCTTATCAGCAAATGCCTGAATTTCATCTTCTTTTTTGCTCGACCAGTCGTTTCACATCTGGTGGAGTTTCAGCTGGGCTGATAATTGAGGGCAACTTTCTTTGATGCAGATTTGGGATTATTTAGAGGCAATGTTTTTCTGCTAGAAGTTTGTTTATGTCTTCTGAGTTTTCATCAAACCAGCCAAGATATTTCCTGGTTCGGTGCCCAAGGGTTTCTGTAGCAGTCTCATGGATAATTTTCTTGAGCATCGACCAGCTTTTCTCTGCATTTTACCCATCCAATGAAGCAGACTGGAGACGGTCTTCTAAGGTATCCACAAACAGGTGCTTGATATGTGGTTTCTTCAAGCTGGTTATGTTCAACGCTCTAAGATTCTTTTGACCCTGAGGTCTTCTGTGTGGCTGGATGTCATTATGAAGTTTTCATATTCGCATCCAGCCACATAGAAGACCTTAGCACAAAAAGAATCTTAAACAGTTTTTTATAAGGTGATGATTAGTCCAACATTCCGCCATACAATGATTTTGTCACCCTTATGCCTACCTCTTCCTCTAACAATAACATAATAAGGTGCCAATTCTGTGAGTGTGGATGCATTCAGGGGATTCTATTCTATTTCTTGTAGGAAAGGGGAATGAAGTTTGGTGATGAGGAGGTTATGCTCTGAGCAGGTCTCAACTCTTTGTGTCAAATGCAGACTGCACAATTTTAACTTCTTTTTGAGTTCTTTGTGTCTGATATCAGGCGCACTCATTTAGAAACTTGGGTTGAAAGCTAAAAATATAGTATATTTGTGAGATTCGCCCAGTTACTAAGTGTTTGTTTGAAAATAATATGGCCCCAAGCAGTATTCTATGTGCATGCCAACATGGTTTACAGCCTTAGAAGCCTAAAATTTAAATAAAGTACCTGTTTTTTTAGATTTATCTGAAGTTAGATAGATAACGTTGCAAATTAGACGTGTTTCAGTAAATTATAGAGTCAACCTTTGATGAGGGATGTGTCTAATCTGTATCTCACACGAAGGGTACAACGATGGCAAAGTCAGCTGGCACAAATAGAATAAACATTAGTGAAAAGATGATTTTCTTTAGTGTTATTTAGTTCCAGTGATATTCCCCTTATTATTTAGGAACACAGCTACAAAATTAAAGGCAAATGTAGTGGAATATAAATTTTGTTTTGTGTGAAGATACTTATTGAGTCAGTTTTCTTCACCAAATAATGGTACTCTGTTATGATGCTTCAAAAGATTCTTTGAAACAAAATCTAATGTATAGATTGAGTTTATATTTTACTTATACATTACTAAGTGGTTCATATTAATTTGTGATTAATTTTGGATATATTTTAACCAGCTTTTCTTGAGTGCCATGGTGGCAAAGTGGAAATTATTTTTATTTCATTTGACTAATTTTTTTTTAAACATACCGTCTGTTTATTTACAAATATTTAATTACTAACACAATTATTTGTTGTAGCTGCATTCTAAAATTATTCCTAAACAATCCCTAGTCACTTAGATGTATAATATGTGTATGTTGCAATTGAATTAGTATGGTCTGTTTTAATGTGTTACATTTGTTAAATTTAAAAAATGCATTACCACCCCTTGGGCCTCTGATGCTAAACCCTCTGTGGCTAAACCCCCTGGGCCTCTGATGTTAATCCCCTGGGACTCAAAGAGTCAAGAAGTAGTAGACCCTTGCCACTGCATTTGCCCACCCCAAATTGGCCAACCATGAGACTTGAGTCTGTTCCAACTCTTGCATTAAAGTCACTAAGAAAGGCAAGCATTTCTGTTTTCAGAACAGATGTGAGGACATTATGCAGTTCTTCATAAAACCTGTCCCTTCACTATATCTTGGTCTGTCATTGTAGTGAGTAGATGAATGCTTACAATCATGGCATAACTTGACTTCTTCCATGAAGGAAAGGGCTTTCACAGTCGTCGGTCGGTCATTTATATCTATATCGTTTGGATGCGCTGAAAGCTTGCTAGCTAGACTTGCTCTTACTGCAAAACCGATTCCAGGTTTACGTTTTTCATTTTCTCCTCTTCCAAAACAAAACAAAACAAAAAGTAATTAAAATATAATGTTAATAATGAAATTTAATGATAATGATGGAATCAAATCGACAGTTTTGGGTTGGACGGACGGCTGGCTTATGGCTGTAAGATCATGTTTACAGTTTTGTAATAATCCAGATATCTTTTATAGAAATATAAGTAAAAATTAATAACTATATATATTAAAGTAGAGCGAAAATAGAAGACAGACAGAAACATGGGGAGACACCTGAGAGATAGTTGGTCCACTTCAGTAGCACTCCCTCCATGTTTGTTGTCATACGTCGACATGTAAAGCTAGCCACAATTCTGTAGCCTCAGGGCCGCTGAGTTTCGAAATATGAGACAACAGGATATCTTCTTCTTCTTCTTCTCGTTCACGGAGAGTAAACTCTGACGGAAGTTCTGGATGTTCACATACCTCTGAACTTTGGTCTTGCTCCAGAATCTGAGTTTTGCGTGCACATCCGTTTTACAGACCAAGCTTATGTTATGCATTTGGAATATGCAGAAATCTGCATTTACAGTCAGATCTGTAAAACGGATGTGCACGCTACACTCAGGTTCTAGAAGAAGACTAAAGTAAAGAGGTGGACGAATAACCAGAACTGTCCGGTGAACGCGAAGAAGAAGAAGAAGAAGAGGAAAAAGAAGAAGAAGAAGAAGAAGAAGAAGAAGAAGAAGAAAAAGAAGAAGAAGAAGAAGAAGAAGAAGAAGAAGAAGAAGAAGAAGAAGAAGAAGAAGAAGAAGAAGAAGACACATAAGCAATATTATGTTACCACAATCAACGTCACAGCACACTGGGCATTCCCGTACGTGCTCAGTCCTCCGATGCAGCAGCTACTCCAAGATACCTCTACTGATTGTTCCAATGAGGCTGAACATCATTAACAGTCATCATTTTCGGGTGATGTTATTAGAAGATAACGATTTGAACATGCAATAACGAGGGATATTTCTGGAAAAAGTGCTAGAACAAGAGAAGATTCTTGACATCCCTTTGTCACAAGGACGGGAAACTAATACCTGTTGCTGGAGATTGTAATATGTGGTAAGAAAGGGAAAGTCGGGAGATGTGAACCAGCGTCATTACACACGGTTATAAACCATAAGTGCTTTGCCACCAGAACGGACAGCTGATAAGAATTGTCCGCCTGTGTCGCCGTTCGCACGTAACTGTAGCTACAGAAACGTTCCTCCATTTTTTCAGGGATCACATCTACAACTACTGTCTACAAATTATGTACAGCTGGCTTGAGATTTTAATCATTATATTGCAAATATTATGTTAATAACGTTTGTTATGAGCGCGACGCAGTAGCCATTCAGTGGTGTGATCCTCAGCTGAACTGCTGTTACTGTTACACACAATCACACGGAATTCGAATGTTTCTTGTTGGGCCTTTCTTTAGACGGTGACATCAAACAATAACAAACTGTTTAGTGAACTTAACTCGTGTCGAAAAACTTCTTGACAACCGAAGTGAACATCTGAAATTCGCCAAGATCTCACAACAGTCAGTGCTGATCAGATCGCTCGGTCAGGTTGTGGAAGTTAATGTATAGATTATTGGGCTGCCGATTATTATCATGAAACCATTCCGCAAAATAAAACCTAAAAACACGAACGGAAAAACTGCATCGAAGTTGTCGCCTTCTGCAAGTGGAAATACTACCAGTGATCGGAAATCCAACACTTGCCACGAATACTTTAAGGTAAATTTATAATTATCTTTGACCACTAAACAATCACAGTTATTTATGATTACGTGAAATTAGTCACTAAAAGACGGTTTATCTTATTTAGAACAAAAAGGGATATTAGGCTACTGCTACTATGGAGGTTAATAGGGCACAGTCAGAAGCTAAGGAACGCAAACCTTGATGTTTGTTGAAATGAGAAGCTTGTCAGAATCATGGCATGTACATTGCCACTTGCTTGACCAGACACTGCATGCTTCGCCGATGACAGTGACTAGACAAATGAGACATTCTGAAGACCATACCAGCTGTAAACTCTGGTGGAAAGTTGTGGTTGTTCATCCACTTTCGGACTGCAGTCCTGTTCCAGAACCTGAGTGTTGCGGTGCATCCGTTTTTACAGATCTGACTCATTTGTATGCAGACAGCTGGTTCCTTGCCTCTCAGACAGATGCACTTCGAAGGAAGCTCCCAATTAGTCGACTTAGGACATGCTTTTTGGGTAGGCAGTGGGTCTATTCTTGTTTTTCCTATAATAGGGCCCTGGAAACCACACAGGGATTAATAGAGAACACAAGGTGAGATAAAATATCTGTGATAAGTGTAAACATGGAATTAAGAGTGGATCCAGGGTAAGAAGGGGTGTATGTATAAGGAGAAGAAGAAAGAACAAGTATGTAATCAGTGTGCTGTTGGAACAGGTATAATCTGATGGTCTACACGCGAAGACATGTGTTGTGGGAAACATGTATTCTGGGGGTATGGCGGCGCTGCCCAGTGTTCCATGACAAATAAAACCTCATTAATGCAAATTCTTAGGGACCATAATTTCACAAATTCACATACAATAAATGCATGCTAACCACAGACCCCGTGGGATCATTTTGTTCATGTCAGCTGAATGTTCTTCTCAAGGGAATTCCATGTTCACCAGATGTAACTGCGCTTACCTTTGGTTATTGAAAATTGCATAGATTATGTATTGGAAGCCACATAATGTGTAATCTACCTTTGAAGAATTGAAAGTGATCAGGTATACCATTATTCTGTCTTGTGATTTATGATATATTAACACCTCGTATATAGTTGCTGTTCTTTGCCTCCTGTTTTGGCCTGGTATTGCATGGGCCATATTTTCTTTGAAGGAACTCAAAGATGCCAGATTTTTTAAATCAGCAGTTAGTGACTCTATTAATAAGTCATGAAATAAAAATCTAAATGAGAATAGGAATGGCTAAAATGATCTTCAGTAAGATGCACACACACACACACACACACACACAAAATACATTGCTAGAGCTATAAACTACACATTAAAATAAGAATCAACAAGTGCTAGTGTACCTGCTGTACGGTGCAGAAACCTGGACATTAAACAGGCGACTAGAAAATCAGTTTGGATGCCTGGAGCATTGGATATACAGAATAGGTCATATTTTATGGAAACAAACAAATAGATTTTGAGGAGACGGGAATGATAACAGTTGTTGAAAGAATTAAAAAAGACGGTTGAAATATTTTGGCAACATTAAAAGATGTAACACTCTTTTTAAAACCATACTGGAGGGCACCACGTAGATTATTCAAGTGGGCGGGCAGTGTCAAGAGGTGGATGAACAGCAGTAACTCTACAACCAAGGCAAGAGATATGTGTTGATCTGTTGCAGCCAGCCTTCATTGAGAGATGTTTAACCCCCACCAGGACCATACAAGAGATAAACACCCAGTGACACAAAGTGCCACCATTCAAATGAGAATACCCTGGTATAAGTTACTGAAACTCTGTACAACCATTAGGTTATATTACGGCTCCCTTTAACAGCCGGGGTGAGGCTTTAAAATACAATTTAAAATGTGTGCCCCATATGTGGCAGTTAATTAACTTTCATAGTGGAGACACTACCTGGTTGGATAGTGGAGACACAACCTGGTTGAATAGTGTCTAGAATAAGAAAATTTTTTTTTTTTTAATTTCTATTTTAATATTTCACTGCTGGTATTCACTGAAGATCAAATAACATACATAGCCCAGGAAATAGAGGATGCCTCCAAGAGAAAAACATACACTAGAAGTCTGGATAGACTTAGAAAAAAACATGATAAAGTATGGAAGGGAGGGACTGAAAGTAAAAATAAAAAAAAATAAAAAATGCATGTTTGTTTGGAAATGTACAACTGGATCAGTCAGTGCCTTGAGAGCAGAACTGCCAGGACAAAAGAACAAGGACAAACTAGCAAAAAATATTGTTAGAGAAGGTGTACCCCAAGAGGGAGTATTGTCACCAACATTGTTCTTAGCATATGTAAATGACATTTCAAATAATTTTCCAGCCAGAGTTTACACCTCCTCCTTTGCAGATGACTTAGCTATATTGACTAGCGAAGAACATATTCATGTAGCGAACAATAGTAAACGAAAGATAGGAGACACTGATGACTGTAACCATGGAAATAGTAAAATGACGTCCAAACATTTGGTGCAAAGTGTGTCCACTGTATGCAGATGATTATTTCTTTAAATATATTCATATTGACGACTGAAGGTAAAAGAAGAAGAAAACTGTCAAGGATTCTTGGAGCTGATAGTCCCTAGAAACACAATAGTTCATCAATCATGATGTGAAAAGGAAATGAAACAGACCCTTTTGTCTGTCACTGCCACATTTGATGCCCCTAGGCATCTTAAGTGGGAAATGACATAGAAACTTGTGGAAGTCAGCTTCAGTAAAAGTCTAACATGCAAAAAAAGCAGAGTACTTATTTTGTGCAGGTTATTGAAATCTCAGGTCTGCAGACTGTCTGCTGCAGCCCATCTAAAGACAGCCCTTATAGAAGTGGAAGCCTCCTTGGATGGTGGGGAATGCTCATGTTCTGCTCCTGCCTTTTCTTGAGGGCTGAGCAGCATTACGTAGCTTTTCTGGACCGGTCTAATGTGGGGCACCACTTGGGACCTGGAAAACGAAGATGACCACACAGTAATGAGGCTGCAATGGGCAAGAAACTCACTGGGAAGGCTAACCCGGTCAACAAATGCCCGCAGATACCGGATCTGTCAGCCCAAAGCCGTAAATATCACAGCCATGCTGTAAACAAGCACAACGCAGTCACATCTTCAGATGAATGCAGAAGTAGAAGAAAAAGAAATGATAAAAACCTTGTTCATATTTTCTTAAAAAAAATTGTTTTAAATGTTTTTTTTAACATGTTCTCTAGAAGCAGCCATATTTGTCTCCCTTGATCTCAAATAGCTCTTTCGTTTTACTATTTTCAGTTATGTTTTTCCTATCTTCTGTTTTATTAATTTCTTTTAGATAGCAAACATTTTGTGCAATTAATTTTTTTTCTTTCAGAGTTTCTTATGAAATGATTCCATTATGCTTATGTAGGCAAAATCTTTTGTGAACAATTTTGTACTTTTTTTCACCCAAAGGTAAAAAAATCACCAGTATTATCGGGGGATTCCAAAGAATTTGCAGACCAGGAAGCTGTGCCAGAAACCAGAGGTAGTTCAGTCGTCAAGACTGTGAACAGGGATCTGACTCCATTACGCCCAAGACGATCACGGCCT